TATATATTATATGCATAAATAATTATATTTATTAATACGAAAAAAAAAATAAATTTTTAAAATAATATAATTGAATGAAAATCAATTTTGTATGAATATAATTGAATGAAAATGAATACTTTATTTTTTTAATATAAGATAATTTGTAATATTTGCATGAACCAACTTACTTAATATGTAAAGGAATCGTTGTTATTCCTAGAGGTCACGGGTTCGAGCACCAGCGAATGCATTAGGTGTTTGAACATTATTTGTTAAATGGTTGAGAGTATTTAGAATATATATTACTTTGCAATCATCTTATCGTAATCAAAAAAAATTGCAATGCCCAATAGCCGATTTGAATTGGTCGATCAATCGATCGGAAACTAGGGTTATACTCTTTTTTTTTTTTTTTGCAATATTTGATTAGTAACTAATAAGGTATGTATTTCCATACCATAGCTTAAGGACTGTAAGACATGTAATTAATGAGTTAATCTAATATATACCAGGGTAAAGTATGCAAATGGTCCTCCAACTTTAGGGTATTATTTTATTAAGTCATTTTACTATTAAAAGTTATAAAATGAACTTCGACTATAGAATGTTATTTTGTTAACTCCTTCAACTATTAAAAGTTACAAAATGATCACTCGACCATTTATTATTTTACAAACTTGTCATTTTCCATTAAGCGGCGGCCTAATGTCATCATCTTTATTTTTTTGATTGAAATTTAAATAAGAATCATTTCATTTTGGTTTCTCTTCTTTCCGCATATTCTTGAAGCATTTGCTTTTGTTTGATTTTAATAATTTGACATTTTGTATTGTATTCATCACGACACATCTCATGATCAGAAAAAGTCGACGATCTTTTATAGTTAGATCTTTTTCCTGTGGCAATTTCGATGTATTAAGAATCGTTCAAGAAAATCTGACAAATTTTTTTTAGAAGATGAAATATATTCAGAGGAAGGTTTGGTTTTATTTTCTTGACGCCCTTTGAATTTCTATGTTTAATTATGTTATTTTTTGTTGTACCTTATTTTTATTTAATAAAATTTAAGGCTTAATATTGAGAAGATAGCAAGAGTTCCTATCACTTGGAACACTTGTGGTACCATTGAGGAAACACTATTTGTCATTTATCTTATGAAAATCAGCAAATTAAATTTTAGATACCTTTTTTAAACTGAATTAGGTTTAATTGAGGTAAAATTTTTAGCATAAAATACACCGATGGTCCCCCCTACTATAGGGTACTGCTTTATTAAGTCCATCAACTATTAAAAGTTACAAAATGATCATCCAACTATTCATTATGTTTCAAAATCATCCATTTCAGTTAAAAAATTGGCGGTTGTCCAAGCTAGATGCTAACATTATGACTTGAATATGATAGTCATTTGAGATTTTGAGATCATATTTTATCATATCACAGTCAGTAGGTTAATGTACAACTTAGAATACCTTTAATTTTTGGCTTAATGCCCAAATTATGCTCTTTTTTGCCAAATAAGCGCCTATGGTTTTTTACCCATATGGGTGCCTAACGTTACAAACGTTACCCTTTTAGGTGTCTAGGTCGTTAACGTCGTTAGTTTTTTCTCGTTAAGTGCTACGTGTCAACACCTGGTAATTTTGAAATCTTTTTTATTAAAAATATTATTATGTTTATAAAAAAACCTAACTTTTCCTATATTATAAAACAATCCCAAAATACTAAATCCTAACCTTAATCCGCCATCGGCGCCTTCTCCGACCACCACCGTCATCGCCTATGTGCTCCTTGACATCATCCTAGATTTCATGTGATTTAAAATGTCGATTTGTGATCTATTGATCATCAATCGGTTACGATTCATAGGGGTTGCGGTCGCCATGGGGGAGGGGAGGCTTGGTGGAGCTTCTTCGACGGTAAAGGGCGGTGATCAATGAGGGTTTAGGGGCTGAAATGAAATTTTTCAAAGTTTAGGGGTTATTTCAAAATTTATGTTTTTTTTCTTTTTTTTTTAAATATATAATTTTATTTTTTAAAACTTTTATATAAAATTTTTAAAATCACCAGGTGTTGACATGTGTCACTTAACGGGGGAAACTAACAACATTGACGACTTGGGCACCTAAAAGGATAACATTTGTAGCGTTAGGCACCCAGATTGGCTAAAAAAATCGTAGGCACTTATTTGACACAAATGGATAGTTTGGACACTTATTTGAGAATTAAGCCTTAATTGTTTAACGAAAAATGACGAGTTTGATACATAACGAATAATTAGGTGTCCATTTTATAACTTTTAATAGTCAAGAGACTCAAAAAAGTAACATTATATAGTTAGAGTACCATTTTATGATATTTAATAATTATGGGACTTAATAAAATAATAACTTATATAATCAGGGGATCATTTGCGTACTTTACCCAAAATTTTATTTTATTTTTTGTATATTTTTTTATTCAAATTCACAACTCAACTAAATCCAATTCATGAATGAGTGTACGTATGAAAACAATACAAATATTATAGTAACAATTTTTTTAAAAAAATTTGAGGTAAGTACATAGTATAATCATTTGACAATGAATGTTCACATTAGGACTGAGCAAAGAAATCGAAAAAATTGAAAATTGATTCAAACTGAATTATTTCGATTTTTTGGAGGTTGAGTTTGAAAAATAGTAAACAATCAAAATCCGTCAACCCGAACTGAAACCATGGTTTTTATATCATTTGGTTTCGGTTCCCATTTTAAAAAATTGACAAAGACGGTTCGGTTCATATTTTAGTAAAAAATCGAATCGTACCGAATACACCTCTAGCTCACAGCCCTGATATTTTTGTGCTCAAACTCGAAAACTCAAAAAATAACAACAATTCTTGTACTATCGAGATCGCTCTATTCGTGCATTATAATAATAAAAATTGAATATAACTATTGATAAGTACATTTATAATTCTAAAGTCATAAATACGTATGTTTGGGATTGACATGGAAAGTAACAAGCACGTCACGTTACATGTGTGTCGTAACTCCAACAACCGCATCCATGTCATTAAAACTCGAGCTGAGTTGCTCGTGAAACCCAATCAAACTCGACCGACTATTAAATTTGGCTCTAAAATTTCAAAATTCAGTTAAAAAAAACCATGTAAATGAATTATTGTTTTTAGGGTAAAGTACACAAATGATCCCGATTACAGGGTATTATTTTATTAAGTCTATTTATTATTAAAAGTTATAAAATAGTCATTCGATTATAGAATATTATTTTATTAACTCTCTCAATTATTAAAAATTATAAAATGGTCATTCGACTATTCATTAGGTTCTAACCTCATCCTCTTTCGTTAAAATATTTGTCGTCGTCTAAGTTGGACGTTAACACGATGATTGGATATGATAGTCATTTGAGATTCTAGGATTATATTTTACCATATCACAGACTCACAGTCAACATGTTAACGTTTAGCTCAGAATACCGTCAATTTTTTAACGGAAAAGGATGAGTTTAAAACATAATTAGTCGGGTGACCATTTTGTAACTTTTAATAGCTGAGAGACTCAACAAGCAACATTCTATAGTTGAAGTATCATTTTGTAATTTTTAATAATCATATGACTTAATAAACCAATATCCTATAGTCAGAGGACCATAATCAAAATAAAGTTATATCTTTATATTTTCTAAAATTTTGAAAAATTTCAAGAATTAAATAATAAATTTTCAATCTTAGTTCCCTGCCTGGCTCCTAGCATCGTCTGCAATATGACCGAATTTAAAGTTGGGGCAATAAATGTGGTGTCATATATTTAAAAAATCATTTAGAGTGTAATAAAATATTTTAATATATTAAATTTGACTTATAATTTAGGGTAAATTATGCGTTTAATACATAAACTATCAGTTTTGGTCTATTTTAGTACCTAAACTTCATATTTTTCAAAATCATACCTAAAGTTTAGTTTTCGTTTAATTTTAGTATTCGACTGTTGAAAAATTTTAGTTTTTTTTTTCATTTAATATCCCGTTCAAAATTTAACGTCACATTTTGAAAAAAATAGAAGTTTAGGTATTAAAGCGGGTCAAAATTAATAGTTTAAGTATTAAACGCGTTAAGTTTTTAACGACGGATACTAAAATTAAATGAAAACTAAACGTTAGGTATAATTTTGGAAAATAAAATAAAATTTTAGGTTAGGTCAGGTCGAATATTTTTCAACATAAACCCGAGTTATTACTTTCATTCAATAAATTAGAGATCTAAATGAAAAAGTAATACATAGAGAGTTATTATTTTTGGAGTCGGGTCAGGTTGAATATTTTTCAACCTAAACCCGAGTTCAACCTAACCCAAATATTTTTTTTAAAACAACCTGGACCCAATTTTTTTTTTAAAAACCCCGATCCAATCGAATTAGAATAAATCAAAACTCATCGATATCTAATCTCATGCCCATCCCTAGTCGGAGGAATTAGGACCCGACTCCCATGCGGTGTGCAACAAAACAACGAAAGATTTTCGAATAATTTTACGGTTCAAAAGTTTAATTTAAGATTAACAAATTATGAAAATAAATATAATTAAAAATAAGAAAAAATATAAACATTGCACATTGCACATGTAATTCAACATTTTCAGTTCAACTTAAATGTTACTTTCAAGTGTACCATGCCCCACTCTTGGGCCACAAGAAGGGGTTTGTTGAACGTAGAGGGGTCTCATTTTGGTTTGGCCGAGGTCCCTTGCAGTCCAAGTTTTATGGTCGATGTTTTCCGATGATTTTATCCATTTACTTGCTCAAATCATGACTCTCTTTGCCCACCGTCCTCACTTTCCCCATCACTACTCTTTGACTCGTACATCTATATATAAGATCAATTACACGTATAATATTTAAATTATCAGTTTTAATTTATTTTAATACTTAAATTTTTAAATTTTTTAAAGTCATACTTAAAATTTAGTTTTTATTTCGTTTTAGTGACGCTCTTTATTCCTTCAGCAATATTCATTTTTACAGAGTTCTCTTTTCTTTTTCCATTTGTTCATGAGAGCAAACGGTAATTTACAAGCTCTTGGGATGGTTCAAAACTGAAGTATCGCACGCTGATCACCTCGAACCACGGCTAAGACCTCGCTAATGGAAATACTGCGGCCCGAATCGTTCTTCAGACAGAGCAACGCCGCCCGAGCCATACAATGAACGACCTTCGAATCGTCGTCTTTATCCGCCAATCTCGGATCCACCAGGTGAGTGATCAAGTCGCTTTCGAGCAGTGGCAGCGCCTGCATTAAAAATTAACAGTAGGAAGAGTATCATCAATGGATCATAACACTTCACAATACATCTATATCCTCTGTCACTAAACTTTTTATGCATATGATGCATTGACAAAAACTTGAAAAAAATCGAATAGACATGCATTAGACTCATTTATTCGACAATTACCCGAATTCGGTAATATAATTTATAGTTTGTTGAGTTCTGCTAGATGTCTATAAACTTCCTAGAATCAGCCTCTGCGTATGTATAACATGATAATGCATATGCATTTTCATGGCAAAACTCCTTAAAACAGTAGAAAATGTTGCTTTTGATAGGTTTCCGACTCTTTCGGAAGAAGTCTGGTTCACAAATAGTCGGCCGTAGATCTCTCAACAGATCCGGTATTGTCTTCCCGATCTGTATGCGGTTTTAACCTTAAGATTTTATCTCCGTACCGCACGTTGGGAGCACTTCTTACACCCTGAGAGCTCGAGGTGCTCTCTACACCCCACGTGCGGTACGGAAGACAAAATCCGATTAAAACCGGACACAGAGACACTTCTCCCAAAGGAAAATCCCTCTTAGCATAGGAAACAAGTTGAGCAAACATCTGAATAGATACTACCCCGTGATAACCATAGATTATTCGGAAAAAATGTTGAGCAAACATCTTACCCAGTCTTTTAAGGACTGACCCTCATTTTCATGTGGAAAGCAACCTGCAACTTTTCCAGAAATAAGCTCCACAAGAAACAATCCATAGTCATGTACATCCACATAAACCCTTTTGTCTTCCTCTAGGTTTGGACATCTTCAAACATCAAAAGTGAGGAATTATATCAAATATTTTGAGGGTAAACTACGCATTTAACACTCAAACTATCAGTTTTAGTCCGTTTTAGTACCTAAATTTTTTAAAAATTTAAAACAATACCTAAAGTTTAGTTTTTGTTTCATTTTAGTACCCGTCGTTAAAAACTTTAATTTTTATTTCATTTTTAATCCCTCATTTAAAATTTAACTTAAAGTTTTGAAAAAGTGAATGTTTAGGTTCTAAAACGGACAAAAACTGATAGTTTATGTACTAAACGCGTTAAGTTTTTAACGGCGGGTACTAAAACAAAATGAAAAACTAAACATTAGGTATGATTTTGAAAATTTTGAAAGTTTGGATACTAAAATGGACCAAAACTGATCGTTTAAGTACTAAATGCATAATTTACTCATATTTTGACCTAGCAGATTTTGTAGAAGTTCCAATCTATAAAGAAATTTGCATTAAAATTCAAGCTTGAGTATCATATAAGAAAAGTTCTCTTACTTGCCACTTGAATTCCCATTACATTGAACCTCCTCCTTGTGCCACTTAGCTGTTATGAAATTGCTTAGCTCAATAGGTTAAATAAAACCATAGGAATCAGTCAGTAATTTGCATGCAGATTCTGATACAAAATTGAATTGAGATGAACATAGTTTTGTATCTACTTACCATAGGTGAGTAACCATGAGAATAAACGATGTTAGATGAACAGACCGATTGGTGAACGATTGGCCCGTCGGGACATTCTTCGTGAAGATAGCGCAAGCTGCCACCTATTTCGATGGCGGTGTACCACCTTGCTCTCCAAGTTAGGTTAATCGCAGAAATATCACCTGCAGAAAGAATGTTAAGAATGTGCTCTCTACCTGTGGAATACAAAACTGATACAAGAAAGCCAATAAGTTGAAGGTACCATACATTGCAACTTCATTGCAAAGTTATACAAACACGGATAGTCGGATATGAGTAATCCGTTCGTGCCGCTGCAGCAATATCCGACGATGTTCATGATGTTGCGGTGGCGTACACGGGAGAGGATCGTAAGCATCGACCAAAACCGTTCATCTTCTTGAATAGATTTGACTATAACAGGGGTATTCTCCAATACCCCTTCATAGATTTTAAGATTCCCTTCTTCACAAATGGTATCAGAGAAGCCATTCGTGATCTCTTTGATTTCGTCAAAAGAAAATTCTCGAGGGAAACCGGCTCTATATTGCAATGGATACCAAGATGGACCCCGTGGAGTTTGTAGTATAGGTGACTCCCCTTCCTCGACCGCATTCGGATTCACATGTTCCGGATCATTCAGGGGTTGATCGTCGGGCCAAGTCTCGGCATCAGCTCTTTCGCTACTTACCGGCGAGTGTTCGGGCTTGGGAGCTCTCGATGGCATTAAAGTTGCAACATCTTTTCCTTTCATTACTGCAACATTGCATTCAACATTCCAGTATATGCACATTTTGTACTTCTTCAAGTGGCTGTCAAGAATCAAGAACATCACAGCACTGATCAATATTCAATCCCCTTTTCAGTTCAAGAATTTATATAGGTTAGAATTGTCTGAGCGTCATACTGATAACGTGAAGTTATCGTCTTCGTGTTATCGACACGACGCTCTGAAAAAAAGGCGAAATAGAAGCAATGAAAGAGTAATGCTGTTGCATGTATGAGGAGGCATGGATGGATACCTGTCAAGAACAATCCATCGAGTGTTGGGATTTTGTGCTTCTTTGAGTGTTATTTCTATGGGACAAATCCGTGCTGCAAGTGTGACCTCCAACTTCACCTGATCGACGCAAAGTTTCAGTTTTGTTGGGAAGAAACAAACCTAGTCCCCTAAAAAATTCAAATTTTTATACATTTTAGAAAAATTCTTCTCTACTTTTTTAATATTTTTTTATTCCTTAAAATTTTAGGTAAACTATACATTTAGTACTTAAACTATCAGTTTTGATTCGTTTTAGTACCTAAACTTTCAATATTTTTAAAATCACACCTTACGCTTAGTTTTCATTTTAGTATCTGTTATTAAAAACTTAACGCGTTTAGTACCTAAACTATCAAAAACTAAACTTTAGGTATGATTTTTAAAAAAATTAAAAGTTTAGGTACTAAAATAAATCAAAACTGATAGTTTAAATACTAAACATATAATTTACCCCAAAAATTTTATAAATTCTTCACACCTAACCTAAAACCCTACGTCTTCCCTGTTATTTACCTCGTTTCTTTTACATTTTCGAGTGAATGGTTGAAGGATAGCTTGGTATTGTTCCCTTTTCCTCTCGAGTTCTTCTTCGACGTCTCTGGGTTTCAGTTCTGTATGTCCTGATGAAAACTCCAACTTCTCCACTGCAATTTAACATTCGTCCCAGTTTAGCATGCCTATTATGGACATACATGAAATATTCAAACGATAATTGCCTTTAAAAATTAGGGTAAAATATGTATTTAGTACCTAAATTATCAGTTTTAGTCTGTTTTAGTAACTAAACTTTCAATTTTTTTCCAAAACGTATCTAACATTTAGTTTTCATTTCATTTTAATAATTGTATTTAAAAACTTAACCCAAACTATCATGATAGTTTAGTTTGTTTTAGTATCTAAACTTTCAATTTTTTTCAAAACTTAACATTAAATTTTCAACGAGATATTAAAATTAAAAAAAATAAAGTTTTTAACGGTGAGTACTATAATGAAATAAAAACTAAACTTTAGATATAGTTTTGAAAAAATTAAAAGTTTAAGTACTAAAATAGACTGAAACTAATAGTTTAGATACTGACCACATAATTTACCCAATATTCAAACGATAATTGCCTTTAAAAATTAATTTGGACTGAAATTCATTGTGGCACCGATGATAAAAGAAAATGTCATTACCCGAGTTTGAATAGATTAAAAAATTATATATATTGTTTACAAAATTGAAAGTTTTTGTTTTATTTTAATATACTATTCAAAATTTAACGTTAAGTTTAGAAAACAATTGAAAGTTTAAATACTAAAACGGACTAAAATTGACAATTTAGATACTAAACCCGTTAAAAACAAAAACTTGACGCTGGGTATTAAAATTAAACAAAAATCAAGTATGATTTTGAAAAAAATTAAAAGTTTAGGTACTAAAATAAACAAAAATTAATAATTTAGCTAAATACGTAATTTATCCTAATTTTTTTTATTTAATTCCTTAAAATGTTCATTATTTTTTAAATATTTTTAAGTAAACCTTATGCCATTTTTTTAAAAAATCATCATTAAATCTCTCAAAATAAAAAAATAGTTACATCCTCAATTTTTTGAAAATGTAAAGGTTTTTTTAAACGATTTAAATTAAACCCTTCAAATCTTCAAAAAAAATTGATCATCTAAAATTTTTAGATAGACCCCACATACTCTTTTGCCAATACCTGCAAGGTGAAGCATTTCAACAAACATGTGGAGTTGTAAATAAAGAAGACTCACATATTCCAGAGATGTTAATCCCCATGTTCAACGGGAAGCAATGAGTAGCGTTCTTCTTCCCCATCTCACCCAAAACTCCGATCACGATCACGGTGTCTCTCCGGCGAACACAGTGTTTGAGTGCCCAGTCAAGCGCATCCACCATCCCTTTGTTTCTCTTAGCATCCATCACCACGATCACGCTCTCTCTCGCGTTCGAATCCGTTTGGGACACCATTTTTTCTTAATTCCCTATAGCTTTGTTCTTCTTAGCTTTGAAGTTGTCGAAACGAAAAGCAATGAACGAGATGCTCAGGCCTGGAAGTGAGCGCATTTATAGAAGATGGCCTGAAAATGTCCATCAACGGCGACTTGGACGAGATTGGAATTTTAGGTTAAATCGTCTGCTAACAATGTTTTAGATCAATGGCGTGTTGCTTGTCGATTTATCAAATGATCCAAGAAAGGGTTTTGTTTATGTAATCATGGAGTTGGCGTATTCCTTTTATATATTATAATTATAATTTTGATTAGTGGAGGTTATAACTTATAACCCTTAGGTGCGTTTGGTTCACGGAATGTAAGATTACCAGTGGGAATAAAAGATTACCAGGGAATAGGATTATTGAGAATGTTGTATTTTGTGTTTGGTTGGTTTAGCAGGAATGTAAGATTACCGTGTTTGGTTAAAGGAATAAAAGATTATTCGAATGTATATTTGACCAAATTGTCCTTATTATATATTTGTATAATATTACAAATTATAAAATATTTATATATTTTCTTTAAAAAATTAAATTCATAATATTTATATAATTTTTTTTACAAAATTAAAAATATAAAAAATGTTTAATGAAAGGGTAAATTTTTTTAATCCCTGAATTTCATATAAAATTTTAATTATAGAATTTTTTTTGTAAATCTAAAATAATTTAAGGATAAATTTGTAATTTAACATTCGTAGAATTTTTATTATTCAATGATAGAAGAATGATATTTTTGAAAAAAAATAAAAATTTAAGGACATTTTAGTCCAAAACGCCGGTAATGTTACAATACCTAAGGGAAGGGAGGTAATGACATTCCCGGTAATATACCCCAAAAAATCTACTATTGGTAATAAAACATTACCGGAAATGAGATTTCCGGCCAACCAAACATGAGAATGTGGGATTCTCATCCCATGGGAATCTCACAATCCTTGAACCAAACACCCCCTTAAAAAATACAAAAATTTAGGGCTCAAGTGTCAAAAAGCCTTTAAATTATTGAGGGAAAAAAGTTAATTAAGTCCTTCGTTTTAGGGTAAAGTATACAAATGGTCCCTCAACCATACGATAATATTTTATTGAGTCCCTTGACTATTAAAAATTATAAAATGATCCTTTAACTATAAAGTGTTACTTTGTTGAGTCCCTCGACTATTAAAAGTTACAAAATGGTCACTCGACCAATCATTTTGTTCCAAACTCATCTTTTTTCATTAAAAATGTTGACGACATTCTAAGCTGAACGTTAACCTATTGATTGTGATATGATATAATATGACCCTAAAAATCTCAAACAACTATCATATTTCAGTCATTAAGTTAACGTTCAACTTAGACGATCGTCCATTTTTTTTAACAAAAAAAGACGAATTTGGACTATAATGAATATTCAGGTGACTATTTTATAACTTTTAATAGTCTAGAGACTCAACGAAACAACACTCTATAGTCAAATGACCATTTTATCGCTTTTAATAGTCAAAAGACTTAATAAAGTAGTATATTGTAATCGGGGACCATTTGTATACGTTACCCTTAATTTTACTTGCATTCAATCAAAATCTTATATTAAAAAAATTAAATCAACTAAACTTATAAGTAAGAGAATTGAATCAGTTAAACTCTTTAATTAATTTTGATCTTTAATTTAATTATTTTTAGATATTATTAGTACATAATACACTAATTTAATATAATAAATTGAATTCTATCAATAAATTTAATTCTAACTTATTGAATTAAATAAAATTAAAATTAAGATAATATAATTTATAGAGTTAATCGCATCATATATCTCCAAACTATAACTTTCATTTTAAATTGATCCTTAAATTTTTAAATATTCTAATTTTATCCTTAAACTATGACTCTCTCATTCTAAATTAATGCTTAAACTTTTGAACATTCTAATTTCATCCATAAACTATGACTCTCTTTCTAAATTAGTCCCCAAACTTTTGGACATTCCAATTTCATCACCAAATTCATCCAAATATGTAATTAGTTTCAACCATAGTTTAAGCTAAATTTTGTTTTTTAAACATATAGTAATATAATTTGGACTAACAAATTTATTAACAAGGGATGTGATTAGTATATAGGTATAGTTTGGGATGAAATTGGAATGTTCAAAAAGTTTGGGGACTAATTTAGAATGAAGGTCATAGTTTAGGGATGGAATTGAAGTGTTAAAAAGTTTGAGGAATAATTTAGAATGATAGTCATAGTTTAATGATGAAATTGGAAGATTTAAAAGTTTAGGGACCAATTTGAAAGGATGATTATACTTTGAGAACATGTGATACAATTAACTCTAATTTATAAGTAATAAAAACTAAATATATAATTATAAAAATTGGTAATCATCCCCGCTAAATCAAATTTTAACTAGTTTGATTGATATACTTTAAATAATTAATTGATTTAAATGATAAAGTTAAAAGATTGGTGGGCAGATTTATATATTCTTATAATCAAATGGTCATGATTGTAGTTTACCCTCGTTGTTTATCTATATTCAAGCATTTCCAATTTCCAGCCGGCATCCGCTGCAATTCAACGAAGGAATGACGACTGCGACAGAGGCGGCGATGCCTTGCGCGGCTCACTTGGTTGGATCCTCCACCACTCGTCTTCGGTATTCCACACTCGCTCCTCTTCTTTACTGGAACGCCGCGTTTTGGACCAAGAAGAAGCTCTCGTCGAGAAATTCTTCATCTACTATCGCCGCTTTACCTTTCGAACTCTCTCCTCCCCCTATTGACCACGATTTCCTAGTATAACCTCCTTTTCCTCTTTTAATCCGTACAAAAAGTAATATTATGGTTATGAGATTTAATTTTTGAAATTTTTGCAGGATTCAGTTGCAGCTGAAGGAGCAAAGGTTTCAGAGGAAGGGATAATAGAAACGTTCGACAATGATGATGAAGCTTTCGATGCATTCGATAATGGTGTAGTGGTAAAATTCTACTCTTAAATTTCAATGTCTTCATTCGGTTACGATTGTTTCTAATCATTTCCTTTGTTTTTTATTTGACGAATTGGTTAGGTTATGGACCTTTCACATTTCGGAAGGATAAGAGGTAGGTATAACTTCAATTAATTTAAGTTTTACTTAACTATGAATTTGTTCTTATGAAATTTACATGCATTGGATGGAATTGTTGAAGTCAGTGGAGATGATCGGATTCAGTTTCTTCATAACCAAACCACTGCCAATTTTGAATGTCTTAGTGAAGGGCAGGTAATAGATCTACCCTTTTCTCTGCTATTCTTTTACAGCTTTGCTTCATTTGGTTGAACAGTACTAAATTGTGGTCGAGGCTGCTGTGTCGCGGTTGCGGATATTGTGAACGTTATGATGTTGATAGGATGTGGCATTACACTGCATTGCGGCTGCAGTTTAATACTATGTTTAGTTGAAATTGATTGGATACTGTTTGATGAAATTCTTAGGGATGTGATACAGTTTTTGTTACGCCGACAGCGAGGACGATTGATATTGCTTATGCATGGGTTACGGTAGTCTTCTTTACTATTTCTAATGATCTTTGGTTTTCCCTCTTAGAAATGGATTGGTTTTGATTTACTAGAGTTTTGTTTATTTTTTCACAGAAAAAGTCGGTCATTGACGGTTTCACCCGGGACGTGTGGAAACATAACCGAAATGCTAAATAAGTAAGTGCATCAATCTCTTTTAGATCCTTCATTTATGAAGAAAACAAAGTACTAAGTGATTAGTTTTTTCTTATCTTATCCATTCCAGGTACATATTTTTTGCTGACAAGGTAGAGATTCAAGATATCACCAAGCAAACTTGCTTATTTGCTCTAGCAGGTCCGAAGTGCTCCCAAGTAAGTAATTCCGTATAAATTGGTATTCTTCCATGGCATTTCTCTTTAAGTTTTTGGCTTGAATTTGATAATCTTGAATGATATTAGTTGTAATGTGCAAACAGGTGACGGCTAATTTGAATCTGGGTGATCTTGTTGGACAACCATACGGCACCAATCGTCATTACAGTGTAAGATATCTGGATATCGCCAATGCCAAGTTGTAAATAGTAAAATAGTACTTTGGATAAGAAAATAGTAAAATTTCATTCGGTTTAATGTTTATTTCAGTGAACCAAAACGACAATTGTTATCCAATTTCAGGTGAATGGTATGCCTACTGTTGGGGTGGGAAATATCATTTCTGAAGACGGGTTTTCGTTGTTGATGTCACCAGCAGCAGCTGGTCCAGTCTGGAAAACTCTTCTATCTAACGGAGCTATTCCATTAGGTTTTAATGCCTGGGAAAAGCTAAGGATTACACAAGGTGGTAACTCTTGATTTGTTGTTTAGTGATGGTCAACTTATTGTAACAAGTTCTTAGGATGTGCAGGAAGACCAGCTCCCAGGAAGGAGCTAACTGATGATTTTAATGTTTTGGAGGCCGGCCTTTGGAATTCGATTTCATTGAACAAGGGTAAACCGATATATACCATTGAATATCGGCTATGAAAAGTACAAATCATGCTTTTCTAACATTATGATCTTTAGGCTGTTACAAGGGACAAGAGACAATATCAAGACTCATCACATACGATGGAGTTAAACAGAGACTATGGGGTATTCATTTGTCTGCACCAGCCGAACCCGGCAGCCCCATTACAGTTGATGGGAAAAAGGTTCTAATCTGACCCTTTCCCTGAAATGATATGTATGGTTTATATTTCGGGTAGTTTAGGGCTATGTTGCTCGGACTCTTAGGTTTCAGCGAAGTATACGGGTCTTGTCCCACCCATGGATACGAGATAAGATATCTAAGGATCTACCAAATACATAGAAAAGTTTTCCATCTTTGCCAGACATGCCCGTATCCGCACTCATGCCCAAGTCCGAGTAACATCGGTTTTGGAAACTAATGTACACTAAGCTATTCTTTAAATTCCTGCAGGTGGGGAAGCTGACAAGCTATACATCCG